AGTTTCAGCTGCATAACTTACTTTTACGTACATTCCGTGGAATATCTGCATGCTTCCCACGTTCAATTTCTAGATCATGGTATCTTAATCGAAATCTTGAAAGAGTAGTTTTTTGTTTAAATTTCAGATTTAAAAATATTTTCTTTGTTTCCAGACGTTCGGAAAAAACACACATCGCCAAATCCGAGTTTCCACAAACTATTTTTTAGCTTGTTAAACCCATTTATCTCCTCTTGTTCATCATAGCTACACATTATATAACATTTTCTTGGTATGCGACATTCAGACATTTTGAGCTGGTACGGTATTTAACACATTTATGAATGGCATGCACATGAATTGGGCATCTACTTCATTCCCCCCACACTCCATTGTATCAAACAATGGAGTGTTTACACCAAGCTAGCAAGCATAAAGCAAGCATATAGCTGTGTTACATCGTTAAACGTATCCAACCTCCCCACAAACTCCAGTACCGTAGAACAGTATGCGTATAACTTTAGCATCGAATATTTTAAAGTAGAAATCATAGGAGAAAAGACGTAGCGAATTTACATTTATCAAAACACCTATTCAAAACCGCTAAGCTTGTAAAGCTATGCTATCAAAGGATTTTTGACCAGTTCAGCTGGTTCTTAAAGCACAAACCTTAACTTTCTTTAAAGATTATAAACACTATCCCCAAAAGGTATCAAGTCATCAGCAAATAAGAGTAAGAGAACATGAATAACATCAGAATGTAACTGTACGCCATCTGAACATTCATGATCCATCTCAATAACTAACCCATTTATAAAGAACTGAAATTGAAAGGGGCTAAGCACAAAGCCTTGTCTAACACCAGTAGGGCAATTAAAGCAATCAGACATAAGATTATTTGACCGAACACATGATTTAACATATCTATTAACTGATTCTAACATTTTACCCATTTTTGTGCTTATACCATGTTTATATCAAAGTTCCAAAATACGTCATATTTTCTTTTATTTTTATAGATAATTTTGACTTTATAAAATAGGACTAAATAACATAGTTTGTGTACATTACTCAATAATATGTGTACTAAGACTGTATCTCGGTCGGTGTTGATATACGTCGACGTTCATTTCCAAGTATTAGTTGATAAGCGTTATGTGCTCAGCGTTAAGGCGACACGAATGCTCCGTTTGGAGAGGGAAGTAAACTTAACTCTATGGTAACACGCTCTCCGAGAAAACTGTTAAGTAATTATATCAATTTCTGCATACTTATGTCTTTCAAAACTTCGAGGCTACCTCTAGATTCAGCTAGTCAGCACGGTAGATCAGCAACATTGTGGTGTAGGTTAAATAAGTGATAATTGAACATGTGACCATTACATGACCGCGAAAAGCATCTGTGGTATAAATAGCGGCCTTTATTCGGGGTTCCTCACAGGTCACCTCACACTTCATGTGTCAAAGGTCCCGTACTGTACACCCCCCACCCCCCAACACCCCCCACCATCCCGCCTACCAAGCTCACCAGCTCAAATTGCACCCTCGTCAATCACCCAGGTCCCTGGGACTGACAAATATAAACTCAGAAATTGAGATAGCGGACTTATATCCAGAAATTACAACTGAGTCCGCCCAACTCCCAAGAGGACCAGTCCGGTTCTCGAAAGGGTCAGCCCAACCCAACCGAAGGGAAGAAAAAGCCAACATGATTTATAGTCAAGCCACACAAAATGTCACTGACCGTTTTTAGGACAGATTCACGTTCTCCGGAACTAACAACAAACAAAAAAAGATTATAGTGCTCTCTGGGCTCAAGTCATGCTTAAATGAAAACAGCCTAATTTCCGCACACCAAGGGTAAACTCGTACAGAAAAGACCAAGAATGGTCTCATCAGAGTCGTAGACACAACAGAATGAATGATGAAAATGGGAAAAAGTCTTTAGCACAGACTTCTCCCCAGATTTTAATAAGAAAGATCCTCACATCGTTTTATAAGAATAAATACGACCAATAGCAATTATAGGTCCCCCGCAGCATTCCCACGGGCAAGCGGTCAACAGCGCCATGTGCTGAGATCGTATCCCGCTAGTGACCGGGTTGTTATTCAGCCTTGGGACCAACAATGTTTACAGGTCTTTACAGTGTTATCATTACCCCTTGTGTACAGTACATTCACCCTGTGCACACAAAAGAACCCACTCGTCCGATGGTAGAAGACCAGATGGTGAAACACGAATACGTACATACATCCGAAACACAAGTGTAAACACATGTGGTGTCACCCTGGGCAAGTGACTTAGCCCAAATGCGCCTCTGTTCACCTAGCAGGGAATGGGTACCCGATATGTGAGGTAGATGTGAAAACCTTCTAGCGCCGCTTGGCAGCTTGGGTTGTATACTCCCCAGGGAGTTGAGAATGATAACTGCAATGCAAACGGATCCACTGTTCGGGGAACAAATAAATCCGCATTTGAGCATAAAATAGTACCTGGATACCTGCGGTATATAAATATATAATTAAAAAAAAAACCCACCAAAACTTGGAGCTGCCGTATGGCCTTTGAAGTAGTGAAGCACTGTCGCCTTAGGGCGTCCCTGCGGCGGCCGTAGGTTTTTGACAAATACCAAGGCAGACGCAAGGTAACCGCAAAGTAGCCGCAAGGCGCCCACGGGGACCATGTGGCGAACGTGCGGCCAGACTGACACTGCCGCTACAGGGCTCACTTGCACAAAGCGATCTTAGCGTTAAGATGATCGTAGCTCCCATATTTTAACATAGGCTTTCAATAGTCGTAGCGCTAAGATCGCTTTGTGCAAGTGGGCCCTGGAGTATATAAGGAGGGGTCTGCCACACACATCAGGACATTGCAGAAGAAATTTCACAACAGACATTTCATTGCAAAGTTTCCCAAAATTGGGGTCCGCAAAAGTCAATTGTAATTCATAAGACCCTAGGGCAGCCGCACGAAAAAACGCAAGGCCACCGTATGCATGACGTATGGTCGCCCTGGAACCGCTCTACGGCATGGCTACGGCGTGTCTAATTGCTACGGCGAACCTAGGAATTAAAAAAGCTATAACTCTATGCCGTAGAGCAAATGTGACTGAGGCTTTTGAGTCCAGGATTCTGTTCCACATACCCGGTACAAAACAACACCTTGGGCGCCAAAAGTTGACTTGTGATGAGCTGTATATGGACGCAATCAGCAATAGTCCAGCTACATGACGGCGGTCTGTAAATAATCAGGTCTGCGCCAGACAATCCAGTTATATATATCATGAGCATCGATCCACGCATTTGGGATACAATGACATGCACAAACCAAGTCTGCGAGCCTGACCACCCAATCCCGTTAGTCGCCTCTTACGACAAGCCTAGTCAGACTAAGTCGCCTTCACGGCAAGCATAGGTTGCTGAAGACCTATTCTAAGCCTATATCAAATTCTAATTTCCAGGCTAATTTCATAGGCTCGTGGACGTGGACACTCTTGCCTCGGGAAGATAGGTTTCGCATAGTCCTGAATCACGACGGTGGAATATATGTATTTTATGAAACCGAAACCAGTTTAGATTATATATTATGAAAACAGAAAAGGAAATTCAAGATTTCGTAGACTATATAATGTGCACATTTATAATGCGCCAAATCATCACCCTAAAATATGCGCAAATCTCTACATTATTACGCCGGTCAATGGATTAGTTTGCACGCATTTGCTTTCATTCTCAGCTACATGTTTCAGCGTGGGGCAGCACCATCAAGCCCTATAAACCCTCAGGAGTCAAGCTGATGACCCATACAACTCTTCTCCGCCACGAACGGTGCATAACATCACCTTATTTGACCTGTGCCACCCCATACTGTTAATCTAGGGTCAGCACGAACTTCATGCACTGAGCAGTGCTATTTTCTCTTCCATGAGTTTTACACGGCCCCATGATAAACTCAAAAAAGACACGCGTCACTACAAAATTTCGGCCGTATGTATTCACAGGTGATTGAGTGTATATAGAACCCGTGAAGAATTGGCAACGTGCAGAGGGTATACTACTGAACTTATGACATGCGTACTGAGACATGGGTACAATGTGTGAAGCCCATTTCTGGTGTCCCCCGCCGTGATATTGCTGGAATATTGCTAAAAGCGGCGTAAAACCATACTCACTCACTCGTACTGAGACATTTCACACCATGTTATAAGATCCCCCCAAAATGAAACATTTCTCGGGCAGCGGCGCGTCACTTCAAATCTTGTGCGTCAGTCGTATGTATTGCCATAATTGTTTTAAATAGTACATATTTGTTTACATACTACACAAAACAAGTTAAAGAGCACCCACAGTCGGAAGGTTGCGTATTGTTAGCAACCAGCCATGACGTATTAAGTATAGTCATTACAATATCCAGTGTTATTTAACTTCTCCTCAGTAGTACATTTCCCACGTCAGATGAAGCATACTCTGTTATCCATAAAATATTATGCTTGACAACTGACAACTGACCGAGTTGAATGTGAGCCAAGTTGTGTTTGTTGGTGAGTGAGTGAGTTTGGTTTAACGCCACTTTTAACAGCATTCCTATAGATCACGGCGTGTCAGCTTAATGTGGGAGAAAAGCCCGAAGTGATACAAGTCTCAGTCGTTTACCACTTTGGGTATTTTAGAAGGGGAAAACATAAAAAGAGTTCCTTCCGCAACACGAAGTCCAACAGCCCTCAACACTTTTCAGAAACATATGGCCGAGAAACATGTTTTGAAAGCAGACCCAGTGATCAGTTTATTGTATCTTTGGTGTACAGTTCAACCAGTATTTCGTCATATGACCATATGAGATTTGTCATTTGTCATCCTATTCCCAGAGGTGGGATATGGAGGATGCAATATGTTTTATATTGCGAGTGTATATACCCCTATTGGAATACAACGAGGCCAAGTTAAAATATGAATGGTTAACGTCGATGCAGCGCTACAATATCGCTGGTTCCGCCAGGTACACGTGATAAAATGAAAAACAACCTCACTGATACTCGTTTAATGAACCATTCGTTTTATCCAAAAATACAGTAAAACATTCAATCACTAATATCAGCAATACTCGGAGGTCCGAAGAGATCAGATGAATCTAGGGTGTGAAAGCCTTCACCAATATTTTGCCTTTTACGCCCAGTGGAATCTGTTTCGGCGGTTTATATTAATATCATGTAGGTTATTGCAAATTCTACCATGAATTTGGAATTTCGCGATTCAGGTCAATCAGTGGTTTCAAATCACAATAACAACCAAAAGGTTTCAAATCACAATATCCACCTCTGATTGCAATAGAGGGCACACTGCACCTTCGGTCAAATTAAGTGTAGTGCGGTTAGATCTACAGGTAACATTGCTTTACAATATAAACACAACGTTTCTCTCTCTCCTAAATAATATACTGTGAGACGTTATATGTAGTCATTATACCATGACATTACTATTGCTTTACAAGTAGTTGTGTCAATATTATACCGACATTACCTCAACCATTGCGATGATATGCCAATTACTGTATTATCTCTTATAGTCACCAAGGAGGAATCTAAATATAATCAACTGTCGGAGGACTGTTTATACACAAAAAAACCTGGCACTTCTTTCAGTAATTCCTAATCTTTCAATGATTCCTTTTCCTCTTTTAATTTCCACTTTTTAGTCTTTATTGCCACAAGACATGCAAGAAATGTAAACACGAACGAGGTCCCGCGTGCTCCCAAAACAACGCCATGGAGTTTGATCCGGAAGTCGGCCATATTGTAGAGTACGCATGCGCCCCTTTCGCCGCAGACTGAATCCCATATGAGGCAACTTGAATCAATGATTCGGCCGACTATTACAGGTGACAGCAACCATCCTGTAAAACAATTAACATGAGTTTACATATTATGTACATGTATTACATACATGTACACATTAGAACTACTGTGAAATGTAAAGCTATCTGTGTGCCCTCACATGTTCTGTCACCATACGCGAAGAACATGGTTAGAATATTGTTGGTCTTCAGCTACCAATTTCGTCGTAAGAGGCTACTGACGGGATGGGACGGTCAGGCTCGCCGACTTGGTTGATGCACGCATTGTATCACAATTGCGAAGATCATTCACTCATGATGTCAGTTACCGGATTTTCTGGTCCAGACTCGATTATTTACAGACCGCCGTCATGTGGATGGAATATTGTCGAGTGTAGCGTTAAAGAATAAAAAACAAAACCGAAACAGTACCTCTGTGCCACAGACTGAATCCCATATGAGGCTTCGTTATCCAGTCCCAGATTCCATTATTTATATAATGTATATTGCTGTATATTGCTGATTGATTGCTGAAATATTGCTGACTTGGGCATAAAACAACACCCACTATCTCACAGATCACTGCTTACTGAACGTGTTATTACAGTCAGTATTCGCAATACAAATTGCAACAAGCAACATCATGACCATGTTTTATATGGCTTTTGAAGAGAGGTCAGGGTCTCTTTCAACAGCGCCACCTAAGCATTACGACCATCACAACTCTATGTTAGTATATAGCAGCTACACAACTCAGAGGTATGAGATCGCTTTGTGAAATAGGGACCTAGACCTATCTCTAGGCTAGGTTTTACACCATAAATGTGCCAGGTGTGGAGCCATTGTCTCTATGTATGAAGGGTAATCAACACCATTACTACGTGTAGTTCTACATCATAAAATTTGAATCAGGAGGCATTAGCGTTTGGACAACTTGACTGCCAATTTGCCCGAGCCTGCTACCTCTTTAAGAGGCGTCATTAGCGAGGAGCTGTACCAAGCAATGACGTTAAGATGGTCATCGAGCTGTACCTACCAAACAATGACGTTAAGACGGTCATCGAACTGTACCTACCAAACAATGACGTTAAGACGATCATCGAGCTGTACCTACCAAACAATGACGTAAAGACGGTCATCGTTCTGTACCTACCAAACAATGACGCTAAGACGGTCATCGAGCTGTACCTACCAAACAATGACGTAAAGACGGTCATCGTTCTGTACCTACCAAACAATGACGTTAAGACGATCATCGAGCTGTACCTACCAAACAATGACGTTAAGATGGTCATCGAACTGTACCTACCAAACAATGACGTTAAGACGATCATCGAGCTGTACCTACCAAACAATGACGTTAAGACGGTCATCGAACTGTACCTACCAAACAATGACGTAAAGACGGTCATCGTTCTGTACCTACCAAACAATGACGCTAAGACGGTCATCGAGCTGTACCTACCAAACAATGACGTAAAGACGGTCATCGTTCTGTACCTACCAAACAATGACGCTGAGACGGTCATCGATCTGTACCTACCAAACAATGACGCTAAGACGGTCATCGAGCTGTACCTACCAAACAATGACGCTAAGACGGTCATCGAGCTGTACCTACCAAACAATGACGCTAAGACGGTCGTCACACCGATGGACAGCGACTTCTCTTCCTCAGTCACACATCTGTTGAGAATATATCAGAAAATCAATAAGTATCGAGTCTGAACCAGGTAAATCAGTGATGGATATAATGAGCAACGTTTCACGCCGTCGGGGTACGATGTCACCAAAATTATCGTAGTCTTGATCGCCGCCTCTTACGACACGCATGGGTTGCTGGGGACCTCAGCTGACCCAGGAAGTCTACGGGGTATCAGCAACTGATATTTGAATGGGAAATTAATAAGTAAACGCATTTTCTACAGTTGTAAGGACGGTCAGGTAACCTAGTGGTTAAAGCGTTCGCTCTTCACGCCGAGGACCCGGGATCGATTCCCCACATCGGTACAATGTGTGAAGCCCATTTCTGGTGTCAGTATTCCAGCTATGTGTGTACATAATTAAATCCGGACCATACAATCCAGTGATTGATATTGCGAGAAACGATCCACGGCGTCGGGGTACGATGACACTCAATCAACCAAATCACCGAGCCTGACCACCCGATTCCCCCGACCTGATCCGAGTCTGACCACCCGATCCACCCTACCCGATCCATTTACTCGCCTGCTGTGACCAGCACTGGTTCTAAAACAGAATCCTCAAGGGATTGTTTCGTTTCAGTGTCCTTTGAAGACGTTAAGTAGAAAAATCAGTCTCTAGTATCTGCCGAAATAGATTCCACTGAACGTAAAGAGCCAAACTACTGATTATGAATAGATCATCGAAAATCAATATTGACACCAGGTGTTCGCGAAAAGAGTACGAACAATTTTTTTTATCAAAAGATGATGATTCGGGACAAACGGGGTTACAAAGCATATCAAAATCAAATGGAAAGGTTAAATATAGTAGTTTCTTATAATTTTCATAAATAGAACTGAACGTCTTAGCTCACCTGATCTCAGCTATTATCTTGGGCATGATGGCCATAGTTGACAGCAGGAAGGACATACCGATGGAGATGAAGTATGGGTAAGCTAACGGGCAGTTGTACTCACAAGACCCCGCTGTCGCCTCACCCCCGGGGATGCACGTGCAGTTCGTGTAGATCTACGCAACAAGAGACAAACCCTACCCATGAAGAAAGACTATCGATATTTGCCGCGCGCTTTGAATGTTACAGTCCCTCTTTATCAATACAAAATGTTTCAACGTCCAAGAAACCGTCAAAACATATTTTTCTTATTTAGTAATATAAAAGAAGTAATATGCGGATTTTTTTATATATGCTCTCAGAAACCGCTATTATCAATGATATTATCTTTGGATGGGGGGTGGAGTATGCTTGGAATTTATCGGAAGAAAACAAATTGTCCCAGACTAGGATTTCATCGATAATAATAAATTTTCCCCAGAAAATTCTTACACGAATAATTATGCTTCAGACTGTTGGGAATTTTATAAAAGAAAATATGTTGTCCCAGCTTGGTATTTTATAGAAGATAAAACATTGTTCTAGAAATTCCTTGTAAAAAAAGTTATGCTTCAGAGTGATGATAAAAAAAGAAAAATAATTCTGCTTGCATTGATGCAAGGAGAGTTTTAGAAATAAAAAATATGGGCTCATAGTTTTAATCATAAACTTATTATTTTGCAGCTGCAGCTAAAAAAATATCTCGTCTCCATATCAAATCCCAGCCCCTTATCTCCACCACTCTTCCCCCGACCCCCGAATATCAAATGGTAAGCCCTTTAGTATCAATCCTTTTAGGTATACTGCTGTACCCCTTTTTCATGGTAACCGCATCCAGCATGACAAGGAGAAAAGTAGTTCCGACTGTCCGACCCACACACAGGAAAGTACTCAAGGTCATTGCACGGACATCCGGCGGGACAAGTGTTCGATGCTGATCTAAGAAATGAAACGAACCACACACTACATCATACAGTCAACAATGTTTCGAATATCAGAATCACGCAAATGACGAAATGACACGACAGGTTGAAGACTTTTAAAGTGATTGTATAGACGGAAGTAAAAATATTAAATTTGGTCTTTTCTTACGAATCTGGTTCAGTATAAAACCTTTAAAGCTGTACATTGTGTCAGAAAGGCTTTGAGCTATTTACCCCGGCGTGTTGAGAATTTCTGGTTGTTCACATCCAAATACAAAGCCTAGACCATAAAACACCACGACTCCAAAAAACAAAATGGCGGTGACCTTGAGGGCAACCATCGGCCCCATCTTGAACCTCTTTGTCAAACAACCTCCAACAAATGTCCCAACAGTGGCTGTCGACAGGCCGAGACCAGCTTCAACATTAAAATGAAAGTTTCATGAAGTATTTGATTTCACCTGACAGAGGTAAACAGAAACCCGTAGTAAAGGTCGCACCCCAACCCTAACTCTACCTTGATAGATGATTCGTTACTCGTAGGACAGCACATGTTACACGTTTCAACATGGTAAGAATATCAATATACCTAACATTGTTACCTTAAAAAATGTTCCATCGGTGCTATTGGTGAAGACCATAAGGACGTATTTATGTTCAGTAGTATAGTAATATCGCTTGGCATTTGATCATCAAAACTGATTCGTGAACAACTCGTTCCATTCCGGGACAAGCCGAATGTAGACTCGTGGCCCCCTGGAAGCTTTTCATATTGGCGAAGGAACACGAGATCAACTTTAAACAAGAACGATAACTCTGATTCTATCCGCGTCATAGAAAAATTAATGTTGTCGCTACTGCAGTGCTCGCTTATTCCTGTTATAAGACCATTGAACCTCTCTGATATAGATCTAAATATATTTTTTTTGTACAAAGGATTATTTGGAAATTGTATTTTAGAGAATCACCCAAATGTGAATTTATAGAATAGATCCATTTGAAATCTATTACTACTGCCCTAATTTTGATATTTATAATCCATCAACACAAATCCAACCGTTAATATCTGATAGAAGCGAAGAGTGTTAAAGCACTAGTTAGGAAAGTGGATTGTCTCTTTATGTGCCAGTGAAAGCTGGTATACATTAAATTGCAATGTCTGACAAAGTCATCTTTATAGATGCATGTAGTTAATAAAGTTATCACTTGGTACACTTGTCTAAACTTTAACTTTAATTGTGTTCTGCCCAAACAACTAAAATGGATGATTGTACGAGGGGCGTTCAATAAGTTTTGCAACTTGGGCATTTGTGTTTACACAAACAATGTCAACTTGTGTGACACTAGTCATAACATCAGGTTGACACGTGTCATGACAAGTTCCAGACACAACAATAAGATAGATGTGATGGCTTCATTCACCTTAGGGTGGTCACAATCATGGATTCTCTCAAACATGAACAACGCGCTGTAATAAAGTTCCTTACCAAGGTGGGATGCAAAGCAAAAGAAATTCATATGTGAATTATGTGAATGTGGATTCGAACAGTTAAATCACCCAACCTAAAGCCCAGACTTAGCCCCCTGTGACTATTTCCTGTTCCGGCAAATGAAATCTGCCGTACGTGGAAGACGCTTCCAGGATGACGAGGACATAAAGGCTGCCACAGAAGCGTGGTTAGAGGCCTAATCTGCGGATTTCTATAAAAGTGGTATTAAAAGCTTGAAGGACAAATGGAATAGGTGTATTGAGGTGAATGGAGAATATATTGAAAAATAAAAGTGCAAAAGATATTCTGCGACTTGATCGAATATTAAAGTTGCAAAACTTATTGAACGCCCCTCGTACGGTGTAATATATGCTTAGATAAAATGATGATCGTGGTATATACCACAAATACAAAATGTAAGAGTGTAATGGTATGTTTATTAAATTATAGATTATTGTCATTGTATACCAGTGATTTAACCTTACTATATGAATCCCATGAACCCCCATGAACAAATCCCAGGAAACCCCACATGTATTCACCCTTCATCCGACCTGGACGTAATATTTTTGTTACATACTTTGAAAAGTATGAATGACCTGAGCAAATTTACCTATCTCTATGGTAACATGTACCAAAGACGTATATAAAATGATGTGTGTACATCTTTGCATGTCCACTTTTAGTATTCGAATTTTTCAGAACAACATGTATTTTATTAATCGGTATAAAAGTTTCTTTTTTTATGTCTTTAGTGGTACATTAGCTATCAGGGTCTGTATATTACAATCGATTAGTAAAAATCGCAAATGAGCAAACATGTCCGCAACATATGACGCTGAGTGAGTGAGTTTGGTTTTGCGCGTTTTTTTAGCAATATTCCAGCAATATCACGGCGGGGGACACCAGAAATGGGCTTCACACATTATACCCATGTCGTGACGAGCAAACACTTTAACCACTAGGCTACCCGACCGCCCCTCTGACAATGAGAGTTTAATAGGTACGTGAATAATAGGTTTTGAAACATGGTGATTACTTAATTTCTTTTATACATTTTTCACTTCTTGGTATAATATACATACCAACATTACACGAAATATCGTTTTTTGAAAGTCAGGTCTAGCTATGTAGCTCAAATGAACGGGAACCGCAGTCAAATGAGCCGTTTTCTGAATGAAAAAAACCCGCACGTGCACGTTTGAATTCATCATCCAAAATAGCCCTACAAGTAACAATATCAAAATAAATATCACATCTCTGTTATATTTATATACTGCGGTGTTGAACTTACAGTCTACAATTTTCCACATTTTTTAAACAAACGCATGTTGTCAAATTAATTTAAATACTCGGGTTCATATTGATCGACGAACTGACATCCTGCCCATTCTGATTGGCTTGCGTCGTTTCGACGCATGACGGCCTTCGAGAGGGGGACGAGCCTCGTTGGAGGTTATGGAAACACGCGAGTCGTGACGAATGCATCAAAACTGTGCGAAACGATATTTCTAAGAATTGTTCTATTTAACTGAATTAAAGTAGGACTTACCCATGATGAGATTTGCTTTCCATGCTTCAAGGCCAAACTGGTTCTCGATGTATTTTGGCATGAAGGAGTGCAACCCCCCGACACCAAAGACGAGACTTATTGTAGCGCAAAGCAGCAGCATGAATATAGGATTGGACAAGATGCTTCTCAGTAAACGGAAATAAGCTGGAAGGATTATGAAAGAGTATGTCAGACGGAAAGACCGAAAAAGCGGGTATTATTTTCACGAATACACGCTCTTTGGGTCTTTCTACAGGGCGGATAGCTTTTCAAATTACTGATACGGCGTAAAACATTATTTATTCATTCGAGGTATATCTAATATTGAAATAATAATGAAATAATTCATTGGTAATGGTGAAACATGAGCAACCTGTTGCACGTGCACTCCGCGGCATCCCACCACACATTCGCCTTGTGTATACTTTGGGTTTGGTTTGGTTTGTTTGTTGCTTAAAGCCACACTCAGCAATATTCCAGCTATATGACGGCGCTCTGTAAATAATCGAGTCTGGACCAGACAATCCAGGGATTGATATCTTGAGCATCAATCCGCGCAATTGGAATACGATGACATGCATCAACCAAATCAGCGAGCCTGACAACCCGATCCCGTTAGTCGCCTCTAACAAAACGCATAGTCGCATGTTGCGGCATATATTGTCGCCAATCGTCACATATTAACGTCGGCGACGATATGTGCCGTGGTTGCAGTGATTTAAAAGACCATAGATAGATTTTAGATGACACCATGATGAAGATGCTTTTCATTATCTTTTCATTGGATGTAATTGTTACTTCTATAGGAGTGGATATTATCTGTTTTATATGGAAATACAAATTTAACTGAAGATGTTCACCTCCGACCAGAAACAATAACAGTTTTAGCAACATGAGCATCGATCCACGCTATTGGGATACGATGACATGCACCAACCAAGTCAGCGAGCCTGACCACCCGATCCCGTTAGTCGCCTCTTACGACAAGCATAGTCGCCTTTTATATCAAGCACAGGTTGCTGAAGACCTATTCTACCCTTGAATGTTCACGGGTCGCAAACTATTGGAATGATACAACACTTTTTCCATGTAGGGGTGTTTGGTTGTTCAAGATACAGTATTACCTGGACCAATACTCACTTAGAACAAAATAATTTCCCGACTATTAATGTTGTAAGGAACTCCTGATTTGGGGCCAAACTTGTTTTTAATAACATGCAAGTATTGCGTTCAAAACTAATCACTTAAACATACATGCATAATTAATTTGAACTCAAAACTTCTAGATGATTCTTTCTAAATTATTTCATGGCAAATGGCGATAGATGATCTTGTTTAACGAATCGGGTGCAATACAGTTATTTTGGTCCGTTGGCGACAATGTCCGACAGCACCGTCAACACATTGTAACTTTTCGAAAATAATCTTTGCAATGAATTGTATCTTATTTTATTATCAAGAGTCATCAATATTCATCAACTTATTACTTTTGATTTCTTTCATGGCTTGAAACCTTTTTGTGTCTCCATTAACGACTTCTGTTGTCTTGCGCACTGGCTCTTCTCGAGTGGGAGCTCCTCGGAGTCTGCGCGGGAAGAGGAACACTGGGAAGGCAGCCACGATGGCGGCCGCTCCGAACACGATGTATCCCAACCACCAGGCTCCCACCCATTTTGGATGGCGGGGATGAAGGTCAGTTGCTGATTTAGAGTGAGCGAAGGAATTGGCAAACCAGTGAATGGGAAGTGGTGAATGCAAATAAATGAACAGATTCCAAGCATCCATGCACATGTTTTGAAATATTCTTTTTGAAGATGCTAGAATTGGTATATCATCAACAACTTTATGGTTATATTTTCCCGTTCTCTTTATCAGAGATGTATATTTTAGTGCTGCTGCTTATGAAAGGTGGTATTTCCCCCCGGCTATCGAAATAGGCAACCAATTCGAAGAACGAATACTTAATGCCTTGACACAACCAAACTTACCCTCGAGTGTAACGTATAGTCTTGAGAACAGACTCCCAAGAGAATAGGAGATCACGGGTCCCATGATGGCGATGGTGATGATGATCCCTGAACAAACATATTGGAATAAAGCGGACAAACATACAAACAGACATATTATTGGTTACTTCAGCAACTTCGAATCCATTTTGAGCGCATTGTGTTCAGCGCATCCTCGAGATTCCAGGGCACCATATTTTCATTTTATTTTGACAAATACCCTGGACCGATCCACTAACAATTTTGTTTAGTAAGTGACATCACCATCTCCATGTACCCTATCAGTAAATATGCACCTATGGTCTCTCGGTCGTCAGGCCAATTTAAGTAACTTAAAACGGATATATAGGACAACGGGGTCCAGGGTACTTTTTAAGACAGAATGGAGATGTAATACACTGGACAATCGAGGATGGGGTTAACGCCGTTTTGAAAATACTTTAGTAACATCACGACGTGTCAGCTTGATGTGAGAGGAAGACACGGAATCATGTAAATCTTACCACCAAAACCAAGACTCATTATCATTGTTTGTTCTTGAACGCCGCATTCAGCAATATTCCAGCTGTATGACGTCGGTCTGTAAATAATTGAGACTGGGCCAGACAATCCAGTGGTCGATATTGTACGCAGTCGGCCGAATTGTTCACGCACGTATTGTTGAGCATTAAAAAGACAGCCTGCTTTCAAGGGAGATATTAGTTCTTTCAAATAGCTATTTCATTTCCTGCATTTAAATTTCGATTGTTTATGATGATAATATTATATTTTTAATAACATGTCATTAAAGATATACTGATGTATGTGTACTAAAGTACAACTATGGAGAAAACACAAGGTTTGTCCATGAACTAATATTAGTATTGTTGACACTTTAATGGAACGTCACTTTACCGACATAGTAGCCCGTTTTGGTCTTGACAACATTGTCGTCAACAAAGGTAACTAGGAAGGGGTGCCTTGGTGCTTTGGCGATTCCTTGAACAATCATCCCTACAGCTATAATGGCCACAGCTGCTGTAGCGTGGTCGCGGGGTTTGGGGCCTCGTGTTTCATTTGAATCACACAAATCGATTCCTGACTGGTTAGATTTCACACACAACTGACCAATGAAATTATTTCTCATGACAGTGTTATTCTCTGATTGGCTTTCGCCAATGTTTTGCTCCGCACCATACAGAAAATGAGGCAAACTGCAAACGATACCGGAAATGCCAAACAGGACGGTGAAGACAGCCATGAAGCGGGGTATATGTACCCGTGGAGCAAAATAGCTGATAAAGATTCCAACGGTGATGTACCCAATGTCGTTACTTGCCATCAGGAACCCCGTCTCGGAACTGCTCAGCCCGAATTGTTTCTCCAACGTGGTGACCTGTGAGTTTACGTAGGTACTCAACGTCGACGTCAGTAGGACAGTGATTGATATGGTTCCCGTGAAAACGTTTATGTTGGCCAGTCGCTGGAGGCATGTCGGGCGAGTTCCACCATCGCCATATGACGCCAATTCCGGCTGTTCGTTATTGTCGACGTCATTTCCGGTGTTATCGTCTTCGTGTTCTATTACCAGCGTTTCCTTTGCAGGGTCCCCTTGTTCCATGTTTGGATTGCGAATGTTGTTAATTTTACGCCCAATGGAATCTACTCGGCAGATAATCCAGACTGATTAATCTCTGGCGTTGACGTTTACACACCAGCCTGAAATTATAACGGACAGAAATAGTTAATTAGTGAAGCTTAGCCCATGCATATGGGTATTAGATTTTGAATTCATCTTACGAACAGACATTCTTCAATCGATGCCCGTTTTTGTGATAGGAGCATTTCTTGGTTATTTGTTACTTGCATCGTCGTTCCTTTTTGCTTAATTTTTTTTAAATACTGTGGCCATATATAACCACAAAATTGAAACCTTTGGGGAGAAAAGTGAGTGAGCAAATTGGGTTTAAGGCTAACATTTTTCCACATATATCACGATGTGTGCCCGAACTTATGAGGTCTAAGACGTTTGCCACTTTGGTGAAACCCAATCGTAGTTGTGTTGGCCCATGAGCACGGGTATGGTGCTGACAAACCCAGACAGATCATCGAGGCGAACCGGGAGTAGAATCTATGAGCATAGGGTTCTGGCGTCCCCAAGGGACGCAACTCTGCACAGCGAATTGGGGCTCCTAATCTCCCCACCCTTATGATAGTTGTAATCGCTAAATCATGACCTGTTACTGAGCATGTTAAACGAGTTAAAAGTTTAAAATATATTTTGAGAACTTTAATTTTACTGAGTTTAAATAAGGATATAATGTAACAACGACAGAAACTCACCCGCTGAGGTCCTAAGCAGGAGGATGTTGTGACATGCCACGTGTCCCACTCTCCGGGTGTGACAGCGCATGTCATCACGACCTGTCAAGGTCTTTGGTAATGTTGTATACCTTGAGATAGTCATGCTGCTCAAATTAGCGCGGTTCGTATTGAGGAACGTTCCAGTACGATCCTGATGACAGGCCACGGGGGCTTGTAACGCAAAAAAATAAATAAAAATAGCAGCTACTAGGTGTACGGTCCGGCGCCTGGTGTTTGTGTAGTCGATTTAAAAAACAAATGAATGTCATTCCCTGAATATATATGCGCACCATTTGTGTTGTCAAACCGTGTCATGACATGACAAGTTTTTATCAACACGAGAATGGGCTACAGTCTAAAGATTTCCTACTGTAGATGTGACCAGGCATAGGCATACTAAATAGTCACTCCGAAGGTGTTCATCTGATCTTTCACGAATGTCCCCATTGTGCTACTTTAACGTCAAATTCATTCCACCTCACGTTAACTCTGGTTGCGTTCGTGATACAGCTAAATAATAGTCTGCTGTTTGTTCCAGATCTCAGCTATTAATATTATGACTTTACACCTGACCACCAAAATACTCACAACATGTACCTACGGCAATACGTGGGACGGATACTGCATTACAGAAGTTCGAATCATTCGGATCCACTCGGTTTATTCCGTCACCAACATAATACCTCGGGGAGCAATGGAGTAGTCATACTTGATTTCAATGTAAACCTCATATCTACACGAATATGGGTAATAATATATCAGTAATATTCAATGGTTGATTTGATTCATGGATTTGTTTCTCAGCACACCAATCCTTTAAGCGCCATCTCCAACCAAACAAGTGCCCGGTAGGGCAGGAAATGCTTACACTTTTCGGGAACACTTCGTGTCATGACTGATTTTCAGTGATCCATTCATATAATTTTCACCACCATTTTGAATCTGTTTCGGCGGCTTTGACGATTTTTATTTACCATAGCGGGCAGTTTTAAATTCATTATTTACGCTATGGTCACCAAATGTTTCTGAAAATCATGAGGAAAGAGATGTTTACATAGTTTCTCAATGTGTAAATGTGTATTATTTATGAACTGCAGCGTTTAGCAGACAATACATTGAAATGTATGTAAAATGTTCACATTATAATCCTTAAAAATCAATACAAAAAAGTTGATATATTTACATTCCATTTCCATTCAGAAATTAAACAAATAAATACTCCTGTCTCCATATATAAACAATTCCATCTTATCCACAGAACATATTTGTTCTTAAAACCAGATCCGAAATATTTTAAAAAAAGAAGGGAAAAACGTATTGGTAGGTACATCATTAATACAGTCTTAATATTGCATTCAAGAGACACCTAGTCAATTAAATTTTGACTCTTTTTTGTGTGTCTAAAATGATAAGTGAAAATTTATATTGTTACTGTAATGTTTCAAATAAGGGACTAATAACTACTATAACAATTAGAAGAATTAATGAAAAGAATGTCCCTCGGAATTGGTGAAGTTAGTGTGTGCGGTTGTCATCAGTAGATTCACAAGCTGAAAATGAATAAACCCATTCTGTCAGTATGACAGCTCTATATGAAAAGTATATAGTTGTTCCCACTAACACGGTCTTAAATAGCAGGGCCATCATGCTTATGTCAGCATCACTACATTAAACCCATTCTGACAGTATGACATGACTTCAACGTTCCATTGGTCAACCTTCCCATTATGTCGAGTATTGTTCCAGCATCTTACCTTTGGTACTTTTGAGGTTCAATCGAGCATACTCTTTTTAAGAAAATGCCAAGAGCGCCACACGACTTTTACTCAATCATTCAAGTTGAAGTTGGATTACAACATTCAAGGCCGTAGTAAGGCTTTCAAAAGATTTTTATGAAGACAAGTGGGGTTCATTTCCAAATTTGACGCATCGGTGATCAAAATGATGTCCGATGCAATTCCCTTTTTGGAGTGTACCATAATTTAACTGTGTTTATTCAGGTAAACATTTGACTTGCCTTTGCACGTGTTTGTTTCGGGTACCACCGGTGAGACGGGATACGTTCACCTCTTCGCGAACATCACTGATTGATAGAGATTCGTAAACCCATACATATTATGGAGTCGGAATCGGACAACTGATATTTCTTATGATTATAATTATTATTATTGAAAATCACATTACAGGTAGGGTATAAATGTAAGAAATATACTACACTCCTTACATATCTTAATACAATATGGTTGTAAACTGAATCATGTATATGAACTGTACAGGTTAATTTGAAAATGGCTCTCATGGGAGTCACCTTAGATATGTTATTTTCATATGGTCTACATATTTTATAGACCGAATGCGTGGTCTAGTGGTAGAGCATTCGCCCGGAGAGCGGGTGTCATACCGATCGACGTTAAAAGAAGGTACATGTTGTTACCCTGCCTGGTGCTCGACATTAGGGGCTGAAGCATGGACTGGTCGGCTTGGAGTCAGTATACTGTGTCTGAGTGGGGTATTAATTTTAAACTGCGGCGTGGAATCTCAATGGGCTAGCACCATAAAATCGGCATCAGTCCGGACAATTACAAACAGCCACACACACGTGCATGCATGTCGCTATATAAATGCAATAATTTCGGATGCGACGAAGAAGAAGTTAATTTGGTATTAAAGGCCGCATAGCCAAGCGTACAATACATGAGATATACTTTTGAACATGGACAGGTGGGACAAGTGTCATTCTATCTGAATACAATATGTATGATACATTATGCAGGCAGATTTCTTTTCAAATACGTGTATACTGCAATATTTTTAATTAGCTTAACACTTTTTGTTGCTACTAGTTAAAAAATTGCCCGTGATGGATACTTGTAATAGTAGCTTGGGATGTAGAGCTTTCTGTTTTCCACATAAAATGGACAAACTAACAGGAAATGGTATTCATCTCCAGTTATATCATGATTACATTTCTGGCACTGAAGTAAATCAGTATTGACTTTGTCATTGTAACGAAAGTGTTGAATACCCAACTTACGGCTCAAACATCGGAATTTATATTACATGCTGATAAGATCTTTGTTTGGACATAACTCCAATATATATTTCTCTGGTTCGAGTACAGACTTATATGTAGAATAATGGTTTAGAAATGATGAAGAAAATAAATTTAGCATGCCAATTCTGAATCTCTATGTCTTCACATCTTTGCTTAAAACATTGTATAAAATTTGATATGCTGCCACACTCCTGTGCGATCCAAACATACGTAAATCCAGTTTAACACATACGTAGGTTCGCCTGGAACAGCTAGGTTCATACTTTTTTATTAACACATAAATATCGTTTAAAGTAAAAACGAAAAGTGTAGCCCTAAATTTCCAAAGCATATAACCATATGGAAGCTATTTTACTGTCAAATATTGCAGATGTTACCTTTAGAGAAATGTTTGGATAATCTTTTAATAAGGTAATACTAGGAAACGAAGCCTTTCTGGCTTTCTAGTGCTGTTTCACACGTTTTTGGCCAAATTAATCTGGATGTGAAGACAATACCTAGATATATATAGTGGGATACTACTTTCATATGTTTACCATCATAAGTTACTGTTTCTCTATTTCTGAGGTACATGACTTCTCCAGGTTAACTTCTAGGCCCCATTTGTTACAATAACCTTTTAACACATCAATGTTTCTTTGTAGGCCTATTACAGTGTCATCAATCAATGTTGCGTCATCTCGTATCGTTTAGTCCATCTCTGACAAAAACACCTCTCAATCCACATTTCGTCAATTCATCTACAAGCTCATTTATAAAAAATATAAATACAACAGGACTCAGCATACATCCATGGCCTACTCTACATGATGTAAATATTTCAGTTTTCGAACTTCCGATTCTAACACAAGCTGAGATCTTGTCATACACAGTTTTAAGTCTGAAATTGAGTCCAAATGTATCTCTGTTACAAATATGAATTGAAGCTGGTGAATTGTAGATTTGTGTTCCTAACATACTGTAGGTTTAACACATATTGAGAAGTCAAACTGTGATTTTTCACCAATGAGGCACCCGGTTGGTCACATTTATTGAGATACTGTTCAAAGATTGTCTCCACTCATCAACGCAAAATCCATGTTTTCGGTGTTGATATGTAGTCCATGTCTAAACCAAATCCTCTGGGCTGTTGCCAAAGCCGATTTTAATGTTTCTATCATTAAGTATTATTAACTAGTCGCAAACATTATTTATACAAGTTCATTGTTTTTCTCCTTCATGTTGTTGTTTACATGAACGCATCGGACATATCAAGCATGGTGAAACGTAACATCATCCTTCAAACATAGTGAGTGAGTTTGGTTTAACGCTGCTTTTAACAAGTCTTCAAGTTATATCGCGGCGTGTCAGCTTAATGTGGGAGGAAAGCCCGAAGTGGTGCAGGTTTCAGCCGTTTACCATTTCGTTTACCCAGGAGCACGGGTATAGTGCTGGCAAACCTAGAAACATAATGGGGGCGAACCGAGATTCGAACCCACAATCATAGGTTTCTGGTGTGCACAAGGGACGCAACTCTGCACAGTGAATCGCAGGGCCTTAGACGACTGGGCCACCCCCCCCCCCCCCCCCCCCCCCCTTCAAAATAATAATGTATACTTGTTTGATAAATCGCATAAGAAATATGGCACTCTGACTGTCCAATCCCAAGTGCTTATTGTACAAGGCAACGCATGACTTCAACCACTGCATGCAAGAAGGACCTTACGGGCAGTGATATCTCATATCCTAGGCCTACTCTCACGAGTGATGAGTTTATATGTATTTGACTGACAGATAAGACCACTGTATTGGCGTTTACAGCTTAGCAACGTGTGTCGAAAGTAGTATTGTATGTAAACGCTCAGAAACTATCAATATAAACCATAGAAGTATCAATATAAACCATAATAATATCAATATTAATCACAAAGTATCAATATAAACCATAGAAGTATCAATATAAACCATAAAAGTGTATATAGTATCCATAATAATATCCATATTAATCATAAAAGTACTAAGGTAAACCATAGAAGTATCTATATAAACCATAGAAGTATCAACATAAACCATAAAGTATCAATATAAACCATAGAAGTATCAACATAAACCATATAAGTATCAACATAAACCATAAAGTATCAATATCAACCATAGAAGTATCAACATAAACCATAGAAGTATCAACATAAACCATAAAGTATCAATATAAACCATAGAAGTATCAACATAAACCATAGAAGTATCAACATAAACCATAAAGTATCAATATAAACCATAGTAGTATCAACATAAACCATAGAAGTATCAATATAAACCATAATAGTACCCAGGTAAACCAAAGAAGTATCAATATAAACCATAGAAGTATCAATATAAACCCTAAATCATCAACCTTCCATAGCAATAATTTTGCGATATGTGTTCTTGATTCTCAGTGCTGATGAATACGTTGAAGACAGAAACATAAAGTCACATTCCAGAATTCCAGCAATATACTGTTACATAAATACATTGTCCATTTCGTCACAACCGGTACCATGATTTCATTGAACGCAATTTGATTTCAAGGGGTGGTGTTTTATTTTGTGTTTCATATATCGACAACAGGACTCCTAGAATTGTGTGATACTAGAGCTAGCTAAACTATGTGTTAGCCTCAAGATGCAGGCATAAAATAATACTGATTGTGTCCCTCGAGATGAAGTCACCTGTACTCGCGGCTGGTAGAGTTGCGCCCCTTTGTGTGATAAAACACTATTTCATTAAAACACTATTTCACTTTTTATGTCTGGCAGTAAATCGTCACCTTTCTTCACAATTAACTGTTCAGAAGTAATTGTTCTGAAATGCGGACTATAAATACTTAACTTATGAGAGGAAATGGACTTAAATGGACAGCCAAAATATCGAGAATGCGTGTTTTGTTGCATGTAAAGCCGAATTTAGTTAACATGCAAACATGAGATTTACGCGTAACACTGGGTATTAGGTCTGAGCACGGACAGGATGACCACACACACACTGCAGTATATGAACGCCGACATGATGACCACACACACACTGCAGTATATAAACGCCGACATGATGACCACACACACACTGCAGTATATGAACGCCGGCAGCATGACCACACACACACACTGCTGAGTATGAACGCCGGCAGGATGACCACACACTGCTGAGTATGAACGCCGGCAGGATGACCACACACTGCTGTGTATGTGGATGTGCTGTGGACCGACAGAATGATCACGAGCAGTGCTAGATCTGATCATTGCGGCAGGATGATCACCAATAGCGCTTGATCTGAACAACAACAGGATGATCAGGAACATTGCACGATCTTCACATCGCTAGGATGGCCATGAACATTTCTAGATTTGACCACCGAAAAGATGACCACGACAGGATGAAAACGAGCATTACTTGGCCTGATATAATCGGTCCCCAATTAAAAACGTCGTGTTGGATTTCTTTCCGCCAGTTTTACTACTAAGTTACTGCTTACATACGAGGGGTGTTCATTAAAGATTTCCCCTGACCCACTTCCGATGGACCTAGTGGAATGAAACTTGGCATAGGTATTAGTCTTTCTCGACATAGGAACCACCAAGAGTTACACACTTCTCCCATCGTTTTATGCAACTATGGAGACTTGTAAAAGCCCTCATTTTGGGTCTCAAACCAGGACTTGTCTTCAGAAATCAGTGTTTCATCATCTGGGAAACGTTTTCCCTTCAAAAATGACTTCATGGTTGGAAAGAGGTGGAAGTCAGATGGTGCAAGGTCAAGAGAGTAAGGAGGATGTGGAAGGATTTCATAGCCACAGGACCGCGCTTCTGTCTGGGCAACATGAGGGTTGTGTACTGGAGCATTGTCTTGCAGGATACGGACACCCTTGGTCAGCATGCCACGCCTCTTAAGCTTGATAGCGTCCTGCAATTTCCGCAGCAGTGAAGCATAATAAGCTCCTGTAATTGTGGTACCCTTTGCCAAGAAATCCATCATCACTACTCCGTGCTGGTCCCAAAACACCGTGAGCATGATCTTGCCTGCAGAGGGTTGGACACGTGCCTTCTTTGGGTGTGGTGACTCCACATGCTTCCATTGCATCGACTGAACATTAGCCTCAGGATCATAGTGATGGACCCATGTTTCATCCTGTGTGATAAGTGTCCAAAAGATCCTATGAGCAATTGACTCGTTCCTGCTTTTGGAAAGGTGTGAGCAACCTGGGAATCCATCGTGCAGACACCTTATGCATGTTCAAATTGTCATGGATGATTTTTTCCACAGACCCTGACACTGATCTTGACACCTTGTGCTAACTGGCGAACAGTTATACGTCGGTCTGCCAAAATGGCGGTATCCACTTGATGGATAGTGTCCTCATCAATGGCTGAATGGGGGCGACCAGGAATGGCAGCTGTTTCCACAGATGTCCGACCACACTTGAACTGGCGATGCCAGTGTTTAACATGGGGCATCTTCCCCATAAGTTGCTTTCATTTCATCGAAAGTTTCTTTTGGTGTGCGACCTTTCAAATATAAAAAACTAATCACTGCTAAGTATTCTACTGGCTCCATTGTCACACCCTACGGTAAAAGTGGTAAGATTAATAGTTCGGTGCTGCAAATTCAGACATAACCCATAGATACATGTATCATTACACACGTGAAATTTCAACCAAATATGATAACCCTAAGTGGTTTAGGGGAAATCTTTAATGAACACCCCTAGTAAAACCTTGAATATACGTTCAGACTGCCTCCTGCGTCTTTACGTGAGTCAGTAACTGGGGCAGAATCTGGCAAAAAAAGGACCGCTCATATATTATAGAGGAGTTTGGGCCGCTGAGAATAAGTGGGGTGGGATGATCATGAAAAACTGACATAGTGAAAGATGGGGCGTCATCAAAATGTATCACAACAGGACGTAGGTGAAGGGGTTAGGGTGTGGCATAGTTCTATTTGTTTCAAATATTTTTTCAAATATATTTGAACATTATTTAGGTACTGGTAGTTTATTATAGGGAAGGGAGAGGGGCATTATAGAAATTGTATCATGTATAGGGAGGGGATGGCAAATGTTACATGAAATAGTGGGGGTCAGCAAAATAAAATATTATCCAGTCTTATAACCAATCTCACGGCCATCCACCAAACCCAAATAATAACTGACCAGTTCCTTTTCAACTTACTAAAGCTGTTGCCGCTTCAGTGAAAAGCTAATTGTGTGACCGATTTCTCTCCTGTCCCTGAGAAACCTTTCTTTCTTTCACTCCACATACTGTCGGCTATGTTATTCAGCTCGACCTTTGAGGAGAGTTTTAGCGTGACGGTCAAATACTGTACCGTGATGTTGAACCACGGATTCATTTGACAAGACAGTTACAGCTTGTCACTTTTTTTCGTTTATTCGTATAAAACAGATTTGAATGCAAGCCTGTTTCCTGTCTTGGTGATATTTCTCGAAATGATAACGTTATTTTTCCTCAAAACATCAAAGATCACAAGACACTGAAAGAGATTGGAGAGGAACCTGTCCAACTGTCCTTGTTTATGATTCTTTCGAAACAACAGGCTTGTCAAAACGGATTAAAATCATGTTTAGAAAGTTTTTGCTCTGTAATATGAGCACTCATTGGTCAGAGAGCAGTAGTTGGCTTTCCTATATCTTAAACCAGACTGTCTCTTGTTTCGTTGGGTAAAAATAGCGACCACACCGTAATTTGGCCGTATGTCGTACTCAGCAATATTCCAACAATGTGGCGGCGGTCTGTAAATAATCGAGTTTGGACTTGACAACCCAGTGATTGACATCATGAGCGCCGATTTACGCAATTGGGATACGATTACCTGCATCTATCAAGTCACCGAGCCTGACCACCCGATCCCGTTAGTTGCCTCTTAAGAAAAGCATAGTCGTCTTTTACAGCAAGCATGGGTTGCTGGAGATCAATTCTAACCCGGATGTCAAGCATGGAATACATTTATCATTAAGAATACCGATTTTTGTCTTCTTCCAAACTGACATGAGGTTAAAGAGGGATTTGGTTCAGAATAATTGGTTGTTGGCAACTTTTTCATGTCGTTCAAACACAACAATATTTAACTGCGTCCTCAATAAATATTATGTTTATTTATCTAATAATTTAGTTAATAACTACCCTCCCGACATAGACAATGTCATCAGTGACAAATATGATTTATACTGCAAGTCATTATTTTGAGCCGTGTCTCGTGTTTTTTCAGGAGAACAAATGACAAACGAAAAAAAATTCCTTCCTGTCCACCAAAGAACTTATACCATTTCCTTCATGACAATATCCATCATGACGAAAAACATATTTTAATTCAGTTTGAAATTTCAAACAGAATCGTATTTGTCACATTTCCTCGTGCGACATCCACCAAGAAGAAACATTAAACAGTTTGAAACTTTCAAACAGAATCGTATTTGTCACATTTCCTTCCTGCGGTAACCATGAAGAACGCACTTAAGTCTCGTGTTGCAATATAAACATAATTTAGTAGATGCCTCCACATGGATTTTGTGGCCTACATGTTTTAATGCCGTGGTCCTCGTCAATCACACCTACACTACAGGAATGGGTCTTTCCGTGCCCGATGTCTTCTTGTGATCTGGACCGGGAGTGAAATATGAACTTTCAGTTAAGAGAAGACTTGGATGGTGTAGAAGGCCTATGGTTCTGAATGATAGGTCAATGATAGGTCAGGGATAATAATATAGAGACATTTTTGGCCAAGGGTTTACAGAACCAAAATATGTCGCTGGGCATAACTGATGGGATGTTTTGCTCTCCTTTCAGATATCCTGTCCTTAACACCAGCACTAGCATCATGGCTCTATGTATGTCATCCGGGCCCATTGGCTGATTATATATCATTAAAGAGATGTATCTTATAATTACTCCCTACATAAAAATATGAATTTAGTTGATTAATTCCACCACATGTTGGATATCTTCATTATAATGAATGATCTCAAACTGTACTTTGTTTAAGGGCCTCAGTTATGCAAATGTTGTCAAAACTAAACAGTTTTAGAGCAGTCTTTAATTAACTTCATGAATAAATGAATAGAAGACAACAGTACGTTCTCTTCCATTTCGCTTGCTTCTTCATGCCAACCGACTGCCGAAAGCTTCAAGGTAACACAGTTTCCATTTTTGTAATATTATGAATGTTTGTATCAACCACAAATGAAATGTTTGGTTTTGAAAAGATCTTTTCAGTTAAAAGTAAATTCTTTTAAATTCGGTTCGATACGAGTATATATTATTTTCAGAGTAAGATACTATATAAATACATGTTTTAAAATACTGGTTATTAATAGCTAAATAAATAACTTAATGTGTTTTTCGTCATCTATTCACAGTGACAAAATTTCATCAAGATTTTGAGTCCTCTAATTATAACCAGCTAATCAAATTATTCAATGTTGGTCACGTGAATTCCGTAAAGGGGAAGTAACAATGTTACAAACACTAGACTCCTGAAATCTTTTCCTGAAGATAATATCTTTTTTTCAGATAGAAGTTCATTATGATTCGATGTAAACTCCTTTATTTGAAAAGTATCGAGGGCTCACTTAAACGCGGCCACTATTTTGATTTGTAGATTTGTTCTTCAAGAAGAACATTTTTATTGGTCGTTGAATTCAAGTTAACCAGCGACAGAAATTCTGTGGAAGGTTAGCGATACGGGTGATGGAGATAGTGATGCCACTTTGCAGTGATGTTTTGGTGGCGTATAGGTGTAGGGTATGTATATCATCATGGAATGGAGATAAAATAATCGACGATGACATGTACATATTTGTATGTTATTCTAATTTTGCTTGCAATTTCCATCAGCTGATAAAAGAACATTTTCGAATATATGTTAAGACAGATTTAAAGAAAAGCAAATACTCAACTCTCACAAAAAAATTAATACGTAATATGCGTCACGGTATTTTTACAGTAGGAGCCTTTGTTCGCGAACACCTGGAGTCATCAGTGATTTTCAGTGATCAATTTATATACTTTTCACAGCTATTTTCCTTTTACGCCCGATTGAATGATCTGTTTCGTCTGATAATTGAGACTGTTTATTGTCTGGTGTTGACGTTTTACATATTTGATGAACAAAATGTAGGTGACCTGAGTCAACTGAGGTTACCACATATCTGGCAGTTAACCAATAAGGATATCTTAGGACAGGATCTGAAATACTTTACTTCTTTGTTGTTTAGCGCCGCACTCAGGATACCCAGTGACTGATATGGTGAGCATCGTTTCACGCAACTGGGATACGATAACATGCATCAACCAAGTCAGCGTGCCCGACCACCCAATCCCGTTAGTCGCCTCTTACGACAAGCAATAGTCGCCTTTTACGTCAAGCATGGGTTGCTGGAGACCAATTCTACTCCAGATCTTCATGGTCCACGATCTGAAATAGAAAACCCAAATGCATCATATCAATGTCTGTCAGGAGGAGACAGTTTAAAGCCTTGTGAATAAATATGATGAAACAAAACTGTGATAGGTTAACACGTTGTCAGACAAAACTGTCATTGTACCTTTTCAATATAATGCATTCAAAACGACACCAAACAAACAACGCGTAGAACACAAAATAGAGATTTAAAATCAACACCAAAGTTTCATTGTTGATTCCGCAGTATTTATACATTGGTCAATCAAACTTAATCCCGGCGTACGCTAGCGCAAAAACAAAGTCTAAAAGATGGTTAACAAGTGCAACTTTCCCCTTACCGCTGACTTGCACACTGACTTGCACACTGACTTGCACACTGACTTGCTCACTGACTTGCTCACTGACTTGCACACTGAATTGCTCACTGACTTGCTCACTGACTTGCACACTGATTTGCTCACTGACTTGCACACTGACTTGCTCACTGACTTGCACACTGACTTGCACACTGACTTGCACACTGACTTGCACACTGACTTGCTCACTGACTTGCTCACTGACTTGCACACTGATTTGCTCACTGACTTGCACACTGACTTGCTCACTGACTTGCACACTGACTTGCACACTGATTTGCTCACTGACTTGCACACTGACTTGCTCACTGACTTGCACACTGATTTGCTCACTGACTTGCTCACTGACTTGCACACTGACTTGCACACTGACTTGCTCACTGACTTGCAAACTGACTTGCACACTGACTTGCTCACTGACTTGCACACTGACTTGCACACTGATTTGCTCACTGACTTGCAAACTGATTTGCAAACTGACTTGCTCACTGACTTGCTCACTGACTTGCACACTGAATTGCTCACTGACTTGCTCACTGACTTGCACACTGATTTGCTCACTGACTTGCACACTGACTTGCTCACTGACTTGCACACTGACTTGCACACTGACTTGCACACTGACTTGCACACTGACTTGCTCACTGACTTGCTCACTGACTTGCACACTGATTTGCTCACTGACTTGCACACTGACTTGCTCACTGACTTGCACACTGACTTGCACACTGATTTGCTCACTGACTTGCACACTGACTTGCTCACTGACTTGCACACTGATTTGCTCACTGACTTGCTCACTGACTTGCACACTGACTTGCACACTGACTTGCTCACTGACTTGCAAACTGACTTGCACACTGACTTGCACACTGACTTGCACACTGATTTGCACACTGACCTGCTCACTGACCTGCTCACTGACTTGCACACTGATTTGCTCACTGACTTGCACACTGACTTGCTCACTGACTTGCACACTGACTTGCACACTGATTTGCTCACTGACTTGCTCACTGACTTGCTCACTGACTTGCACACTGACTTGCTCACTGACTTGCACACTGACTTGCTCACTGACTTGCACACTGACTTGCACACTGATTTGCACACTGACCTGCTCACTGACCTGCTCACTGACTTGCTCACTGACTTGCACACTGACTTGCACACTGATTTGCACACTGACTTGCTCACTGATTTGCTCACTGACTTGCACACTGATTTGCTCACTGACTTGCAAACTGATTTGCACACTGACTTGCTCACTGACTTGCTCACTGACTTGCACACTGACTTGCACACTGATTTGCACACTGACCTGCTCACTGACTTGCACACTGACTTGCACACTGATTTGCACACTGACTTGCTCACTGACTTGCACACTGACTTGCACACTGACTTGCACACTGATTTGCACACTGACCTGCTCACTGACCTGCTCACTGACTTGCTCACTGACTTGCTCACTGACTTGCACACTGACTTGCTCACTGACTTGCACACTGACTTTCACACTGACTTGCAAACTTACTTGCTCACTGACTTGCACACTGACTTGCACACTGACTTGCTCACTGATTTGCACACTGACTTGCACACTGATTTGCACACTGACCTGCTCACTGACCTGCTCACTGACTTGCACACTGACTTGCACACTGATTTGCTCACTGATTTGCACACTGACTTGCACACTGATTTCCTCACTGACTTGCACACTGACCTGCACACTGACTTGCACACTGATTTGCACACTGACTTGCACACTGATTTGCACACTGATTTGCTCACTGATTTGCTCACTGACATGCACACTGACTTGCACACTGACTTGCACACTGACCTGCTCACTGACTTGCTCACTGACTTGCACACTGACTTGCAAACTGACTTGCACGCTGACTTGCTCACTGACTTGCTCACTGATTTGCTCACTGACTTGCTCACTGACTTGCCAAATGACTTGCACACTGACTTGCTCACTGACTTGCACACTGATTTGCTCACTGACTTGCTCACTGACTTGCACACTGACTTGCAAACTGACTTGCACGCTGACTTGCTCACTGACTTGCTCACTGATTTGCTCACTGACTTGCTCACTGACTTGCCAAATGACTTGCACACTGACTTGCTCACTGACTTGCACACTGATTTGCTCACTGACTTGCACACTGACTTGCACACTGACTTGCACACTGACTTGCTCACTGACTTGCACACTGACTTGCACACTGACTTGCTCACTGACTTGCCAACTGACTTGCACACTGACTTGCACTCTGATTTGCTCACTGACTTGCTCACTGACTTGCTCACTGACTTGCACACTGACTTGCACACTGATTTGCTCACTGACTTGCACACTGACTTGCTCACTGATTTGCTCACTGACTTGCACACTGACTTGCACACTGACTTGCACACTGACTTGCAAACTGACTTGCACACTGACTTGCACACTGACTTGCACACTGATTTGCACACTGACTTGCACACTGACTTGCACACTGACTTGCACACTGACTTGCACACTGACTTGCACACTGACTTGCTCACTGACTTGCACACTGACTTGAAAACTGACTTGCACACTGACTTGCTCACTGATTTGCACACTGACTTGCACACTGACTTGCACACTGACTTGCACACTGACTTGCACACTGAATTGCTCACTGACTTGCACACTGACTTGCACACTGACTTGCACACTGACTTGCTCACTGATTTGCTCAATGACTTGCACACTGGCTTGCACATTGACTTGCTCACTGACTTGCTCACTGACTTGCACACTGATTTGCACACTGATTTGCTCACTGACTTGCACCCTGACATGCACACTGATTTGCTCACTGACTTGCACACTGACTTGCTCACTGACTTGCACACTGATTTGCACACTGACCTGCTCACTGACCTGCTCACTGACTTGCTCACTGACTTGCTCACTGACTTGCACACTGACTTGCTCACTGACTTGCACACTGACTTTCACACTGACTTGCAAACTTACTTGCTCACTGACTTGCACACTGACTTGCACACTGACTTGCTCACTGATTTGCACACTGACTTGCACACTGATTTGCACACTGACCTGCTCACTGACCTGCTCACTGACTTGCACACTGACTTGCACACTGATTTGCTCACTGATTTGCACACTGACTTGCACACTGATTTCCTCACTGACTTGCACACTGACCTGCACACTGACTTGCACACTGATTTGCACACTGACTTGCACACTGATTTGCACACTGATTTGCTCACTGATTTGCTCACTGACATGCACACTGACTTGCACACTGACTTGCACACTGACCTGCTCACTGACTTGCTCACTGACTTGCACACTGACTTGCAAACTGACTTGCACGCTGACTTGCTCACTGACTTGCTCACTGATTTGCTCACTGACTTGCTCACTGACTTGCCAAATGACTTGCACACTGACTTGCTCACTGACTTGCACACTGATTTGCTCACTGACTTGCTCACTGACTTGCACACTGACTTGCAAACTGACTTGCACGCTGACTTGCTCACTGACTTGCTCACTGATTTGCTCACTGACTTGCTCACTGACTTGCCAAATGACTTGCACACTGACTTGCTCACTGACTTGCACACTGATTTGCTCACTGACTTGCACACTGACTTGCACACTGACTTGCACACTGACTTGCTCACTGACTTGCACACTGACTTGCACACTGACTTGCTCACTGACTTGCCAACTGACTTGCACACTGACTTGCACTCTGATTTGCTCACTGACTTGCTCACTGACTTGCTCACTGACTTGCACACTGACTTGCACACTGATTTGCTCACTGACTTGCACACTGACTTGCTCACTGATTTGCTCACTGACTTGCACACTGACTTGCACACTGACTTGCACACTGACTTGCAAACTGACTTGCACACTGACTTGCACACTGACTTGCACACTGATTTGCACACTGACTTGCACACTGACTTGCACACTGACTTGCACACTGACTTGCACACTGACTTGCACACTGACTTGCTCACTGACTTGCACACTGACTTGAAAACTGACTTGCACACTGACTTGCTCACTGATTTGCACACTGACTTGCACACTGACTTGCACACTGACTTGCACACTGACTTGCACACTGAATTGCTCACTGACTTGCACACTGACTTGCACACTGACTTGCACACTGACTTGCTCACTGATTTGCTCAATGACTTGCACACTGGCTTGCACATTGACTTGCTCACTGACTTGCTCACTGACTTGCACACTGATTTGCACACTGATTTGCTCACTGACTTGCACCCTGACATGCACACTGATTTGCTCACTGACTTGCACACTGACTTGCTCACTGACTTGCACACTGACTTGCACACTGACTTGCACACTGACTTGCTCACTGACTTGCTCACTGACTTGCACACTGACTTGCACACTGATTTGCTCACTGACTTGCACACTGACTTGCACACTGACTTGCACACTGACTTGCACACAGACTTGCTCACTGACTTGCAAACTGACTTGCACACTGACTTGCACACTGACTTGCTCACTGATTTGCTCACTGACTTGCACACTGACTTGCACACTGACTTGCAAACTGACTTGCACACTGACTTGCACACTGA